AAAACTCATAAATACAAAACCATAGCATTAATATTCTATATATAAAAAAAAATTTTCCCCACAAATGTTAATATTATTATTATCATTAATATTATTTAATTTATAAAAAATGACTTGAAAACATATATGATTAACAACCCAATCAGTATTGGTTAAGGTAAGACAGACCCGCGACATTAACTAAAGGCAAAAAATGTAATTTTCCAACTATAAGAACTTCTCCTAAACACATATTTGGGATTTACTGATAATAATGTTAGAGGGGAAATTGAAATAATCTAAGTGCTTTACTTCATCTTCTTCTTTGTATAGGGTCGTAGCCATGGGTAACATAAACATCCGAACACTTTGAGATTGGAGTAGGTAGGTTAATGTTTGTAGAGATCATATGGGGATTGGAGGTTAGTATCTTCAGAGGGTATTCTATTAATGAGAATACTCTGTGACAAGGATGATGTCCGACCAGAAGTGCAGTGGAAGGGATGAGTTCTGAAATAGTGTTTGTGTTGTATCAATGAGGTGTTTGGGTTCTGCGACACTATTTTCTTATGGAGTATTAGGATAATAGAATTGATGGAGAATACCATTGTGTTACAGAAAGTTTCAAAGAAAGAAACTTTTTTGTATTCACCCCCACCATTAGAACTATGTATACATATGATGGTGTTAAATTGAGTGCAAATCTTGTTAATGAATTGAATACATTTGGGAGCCATTTCAGTTTCTCAGCATAGGTAACACCCAACAAAAATGTGAGAAGTCATCAACAAGAGGAAATAGTATTTATAGCCTTGAATAGATGAGTTTGCGACTGGACCCCATACATCAGTTTATTAAATGCAGAAGAGCATATGCATATAAAGCAGGAAACACAGAAGGTTGCTGATGACTTTTATTGCGACTGCAACTATTACATATAGAGGGATGTATTAATATGCCTAAACTGAGTTAAAGCTTTGAGAGCACTCACAACTCCAACCTCATATGTATTTTGGTTACTGCTCCTTGCTAAATTTGGGGCATTCCAATCTCATCCTTGGAAGATCTCCTGTGAGAATATCTTTGCGATGGTTATCGCTACTAATTTGGTGTTCCATGCTTGTACCAATCATATCAAGATAGACTTCCATACTTCCACTTCATTCACAACATAATTAAATAGGATTAGCCCGATGTTATCTTTATTAAACCTCTGTCAAAATATAAGTTTCAATTCCCATGATCCAACTTCATATTTGCTCCAAACCTCATCAACTTGAAGGGGAGTAACAACCCATTTGGAAAGTAATTATCCAGCTTTAGGAAACTTCTCTGTCGCAAATATATTTGTGATTTACCGTATCTATAACAGAAAACAAAATAGTCCAGATACTTCAGAGCTTTTTAGGGCAGCTTATAAGTGCGGGTGAGATTTTGAAAACGCCGCCTCACCATTTAATTTGTGCGGTTATTGATTTCTTAATAGGTGGGTCTTCGAGATTGACCCTGCGGCCCGCGGTTTTGATTTGTGTTCGAGTGGTTCTTTCCTCCCGTGCCCTTATGCTGTCTTTCTCCTCCCTTACTTTCGATCCCGCACCTCTCTCCCTAGTTTATCTTGCATCGCAGAGATCGGGCCATTCGCGGGCGTTGTAGTGGAGGAAGAGAAAGTGGTCCACTACTTTTCTAGAGAGTTTGAATGGGAGGAGCTCCGAGATCAAGTCGAGCAAAACCCTAAGCTTGGCTACCATCTCTTCGCCTTCTCTCCTTCTGTTCCCTCCTCATCTCAAGTGGTCGCTGACGCCAAAGCCTGGAGAAGCTTCCATCGCCGTCATTCCGCTGGGTTGTTTTTCAAAGTAACGCACTGCAGTGCAGTCTACCTCATGTTTTGTTGCTTGTCATTACATTAGGTTTTTAATCGGTGGATCGATTGGTCTTTGTTCCTATGTCCAACTTTCGCATGCTACTAATAAATCTATAAAATGTTATCAAAAGATCTCATGTGTGCTTGTTTTTGGAAACATGGAAGTTAGAAAAGAAATGTGTTCATACAAGATAAACGAAAAGGCTAAGGAGAGAGTATAATTTTCAACTCATAGCAAGGATAACAAATCCCAACTAAAGCCACAAAAGTTATGAGCCCAAAAACCAATGCAGAGGAACTGTTTGGCTGGATGCTAACATTGTTGCTTAACCATATGTTTGGAAAATATCAAATGAACCATCTCCATGAAACGAAAAATGTCCATGGACGCCTTAACTCTAGAAAAATGAAGTTTTTTTCACCCTTTTTAGAGCTTTGGGGTGATTTATGTGAAGTTTTAAGAGCTGAAGAAAGCTGAAAGTCTGGACGTAGTTTTCATGATGAGCAGAATAATCATTTATTCACAAACAACTGCAAATCAACTATTTTCAAATAGCTGAATCAAGTACTCAAACCCAAAAAATTGATGCCCTTTACTACATTAATTAATAGTAAATACAGAAACAACCAACTAAACAATAACATACCAAAAATAACACGATCAACATTTTTAATCCAACTTAATTATTCATTTTTTTTTGCCGATTACTGCATAATAAAAGACTGACATACCAAAATACTACTGATCAATGAAGGCAAACAGATTTTAAAGTCGATATCTATTATAATTACCCTTAATTGTGTTTTTTTTTTTACTTCATAAGCAACCAAAGCATTTTTTTTACTTCATAAGCAACCAAATGTTCTGCTCCTATATATATATATAT